TTTGCAGTTTTTGACGGATGTCAGGCGCAGACTGGTTCACAAAAGCCAAACAGACAGCTGATCGGTTGTTTTCAGCTTCAGTGTCCAAAGGAGTATAGGTACAATATGCCTCAAGGAGACATTCGAGAAATGCTCCCGTAGAGTTGTTTTTACCCTGGATCACCTGACTTATCTTGGATAAATTTGTCGGCCGTCTGGAGGCTGTTAAGAGACCTCCTATTAGAGTCTGGCGGTAGACTTTCAACATCTCCCTACCCTATCCCGTGTGGAAGTCCCAGTTGGGCCTAGTCAGGGGAAACCCATGGTTGATGAGGTCAGGGTTAACAATCAGTCTCCCGTCTGGCCCTGGAACTAGCTTCCGAGCCTCTGTTATAATTCTTTCTCTTTCTTCCGTGGTGAAGAGAACCTGTAAAAGTTGGTGGCAATCATCCCAGGTGGGCTGATGGGTAAAAAGAACAGAGTCTAAAAGGTCCACCAGACCACTAGGTTTTTCTGAAATTTTGGGATTCTGCATTTTCCAGTTATAAAGGTCACTCTTGGCAAAGGGCCAATGCACAAGGTGAGGGTTTCCAAGTAAATCGGGGGGGATCTAAGGCTCTGAGAGGGAGGGCGGCAGATACAGCTCATGGGGGTTCATCGCATCGGGTCCTGGCTTGGATATGAGGTGAGCTGTTCCAGGCGTCTACTTCTGGAGCCTTGACCAGTACTTGGGGCAGCGAAAGATGTGGGTATGGTGGGGGAAAGGAGAGCTCCTCTTTTTCTCTGTCAGACAAGGGGAGTGGCTTGTGTCCCAGAGGAGCGGAGGGTTTCTTTTCTTTTGAGGCCACCATTAAGACAGATTTTGGTGGAACTGGTGGCAGGAAGGGCTTAAGCCACTGGGGTGGGTTTGTCACTAGCCCTTCCCATGTGATTATGTAACTGATTTGACTTGGGTGACCAGAGTCTGCAAGGATTATTTCCTTGACCTGACGGATGGTGGTTAGGTCAAAGGTTCCAGCTTCGGGCCAACCAACACTGAAAATAGGCCATTCCTGTCTGCAGAGGACAACCATTTTTCTTTTACTTAGGGTCAGGCCACCTTTTTTAGCTAATTGTCTAGCTTCTTTGAAGTGCTTTTGGACTAGGCCTAAAGGGGTTGATACAGTTTGACCCATAGTGTTTGATCTAGTTAGTATTCTCAGTAATAGCAAAGATGTTTCTGACGGCTTTGCTGCTCACGTGAGTTATAGTGCCAGTGTACAACGCCCACCGAGGAATTGGTCTCAGGAGGGGCTGAAACCCAGTCCTATGTGAGGCCAAAATGCTGCACTAGGTTCTCTTAGTAAGCTCAGCATGCACCAGTCAGAGAAAAGGAACTGGAAAACAGAGGAAGAAACCGCAGACTAGTCTAGTTAAAGACACGGTATAGTCAGAAAGAAAAATGTGCAGAGTAAGTAGAAGAAGGAGAGGGTTAATCTGTGACAGAAAGTCCAGTCGTCAGAAGCAGTTACAGCAAGTCCAAAACTTAAAACTAAAACTAAGGGTAAATAGGCGAGGTTACTCAGGATACACATAAACCAGGGGGAGAACATGGGGTAAGGTTGGGTGATGAACAGGGGTGTTCACTGAGGCACCTTCCTGGCCACGCCCCTCGTGGGGTGTTTCAACTCTCTCTTGGCTAAGATGTAGCCGTATAAACCCCAGCCCTGGTCACCGCTATAGAAGCAATGACTCACCATTATGCCATATGAGAGAGTCATGGAACCGCGGGGTGGCGGCCCAATCAGACTCCGTAGCTGATGCCGTGGAGCCGCACAGACCAGACACAGCAGGCTGTGTTCAGTTACACTCTGACCACAATCATCCAATCATTCATTCAACAGATAGTAAAGACAATAACAAGACAAGCCAGCTTAGACAAAACCTCAGTAGCCAGGATCCACAAGATCTGAACGGCGGCGTATCCTCTACGAGGCTCCACTTACAGGAGCTACCTGCTTCATTCCCTTCTAACTAGCCAAAAACAGAAACAGATGAATCCGTGGAACATGTCCCCTATTCCCCCGATGGAACCGTGGAACGTCCCCAATTCCCTGAGCAGAGCGTGTCCAATAGCACGTCTGCCTGGAGCTGGGCCTTCAGATTTGATTCAATCACAGAAGAAATAAAAAGACCAAGACCCACAAAAAAAAGAAGAATAAAAAAAAAAATTACTGGCCGGGAGCTTACCAGTAGGGAGATCAACCGCTAAACGCAAGGAGAGGATTAGGGTGGGGGGGGGGGGGGGGGGGAGACGATCCCGGATGAGCCCCCAAATGTTGTGCCCGAATTTGTGTCCCCCACAGAAGACTCTCCTTATGCATATGCAATCAGCAGAAGCATTTATTGATCTCAAGTTACACTGCATGCAGTGCTTCTACCATCTGGATTGATGGCGATCTAGAAAGCAAGCACACAGGCCTTTTTATAGAGAGTCAGGGGAAGATTCTCGTGATGTCATACCACCTTCAAACTGATTGGCTCTTATCTGGGGAAGGTTCCTGATTGGCTTTTATCTAGGGAAGGCTGCTGGCCTCAGAGGTTTGGCAGTTAGGGAGGGTTCTAACGGTTACTGGTGGATTCTAACGGTTACTGGTGGTTAGGGTGGATTTGGGTATGGGGGAAGGAATTTCATTAGAGAAGGGAGACTGACTCTTTTAAAAGGGGAATTTTTCTGGTTGGGGTCTTTTTTGGTCTTTCAGAACCAACTAACCAACCAGTTGAGTTTATTCCAATTCATGGTGCCACCTGTGTGGGAGAGTAGAACTGTGCTTCATAGGGTTTTCAATAGATGATTTTTTTTTTTAATGTTTTATTGTGAATTATATGGTAGTTTACCTGGGAGAACATTAGCTTTACATTCATCCTATCGTATATCATTTCATAATAGATGATCTTTTGAAAGTTGATAATCAGGCCTTCCTTTGAAGGCGGGTCTGTTAGCAAGCAAGCACGGAAATTGTTACCACCACCCTGGGACTCACACAACCAACTTTAAGTTCACTCTTCCACACATTCACACATACTGTTTCCTCCTTAGAAATATTCACCCCAGTCCAAATCTAACTCCACTCTTATAACTCCATATGTATCTATTCATTGTTACTTACCCTTAGGTTATTTTTCTGTGCTTTGTCTTAACCCCTGTAAAGTAGATGGTACTTTGGAGAGCTGAGACCCTGCAAATATTTGTTGAGCTGAAAACTAGGGTGATGGGTAGACGTGAGTGATGTTAAAGGCCAAACAATGCATAAATAAAAATGATGAATGTGTTTCTGGGCTTGCTAGCTTTTGAGGATAAAAGATCGTTTGTAAGGTGAAGATAGGCTTAATTTTGCTTTGCTGCAATCTAGATCTCTGAAGAATATCACTGGGTGAAAATATCTAATAAGGGTGCAATGACTAAGGTTATTTATTGTTCTGATAGCCTCCTATTCTTTACCTGTTGTTTATATCATTCATTCATTCATTCATTCAATAAACTCTATGCCTTAATAAAAATTATAAGCTATGGAAATAGTATAAGCCTAAAGGAAAATCAAATATAGTTCTTGTTCTCAAATAGTTTATTATCTGCTGGCATACAAACAAGTCACACACAAGGATGTAGGTAGGTTCTGCATCTAGTAATGGAGGGTTTGCTTGTTTCATATCCTCCCACTGAAAACTAGATAAAATGCAAGAGACATCTATTTATAAGTCTCAAGCCAGCCAAGATATGAGGAACCAAGAATTGGAAAGAAGAGAAATTTATCAAGGTGATTTGGACAGTCTACACATTTTTTTCCATTCAAGGCAATTCCTCAAGGCAATTTTCTAAAACAGCGTAGAGAAGCTGAGAATCCTGGCAGAAGAAAAGCTATTCAGAAGTAAAGCTGAGCAGAACTTTTGGTGGTTTCATGGGACTTGTTGATGTTATTAAGTGCTGTCGAGTTGGTTCCAACCCATAGTGACCCTGTATAGGGTTCTCGAGGAATGGCTGGTGAGCTTGAACTGCCAACTTTCCAGTTCAAACTGACCTTGCATCCAGCACATTAACCCATATCACCACACCAGGAGTCATAGGGAGACAAAATTCCAATCCAGGGCTAACTGAGCCAGGACTAAAGGTTTCAGGATATTTCAGAGATGGAAAGTGAGTCCAACAATCTGAGTTGTTTATCCTCACAAGGCATTCACTAATTGGCAAGTAACTGCATAGAGAGAGACTGAACAAAGAACAAGAGCCAAGAGATTATGGAGAAAAACTGAGCCTTTGAAAGTGTCAGTAAAAAAACGCGTTGAGTGCTTTAAAAAAGAACAAGCCTTTGTAAACACTGAAGCTTTCAGTTAGAGGACCTTAAAAATTCTTCCCAAGAAGTAAAGGTGGACCTCTACTTATGGAGAAAAAAAAAAAAAAAATCTCTAACTATCTCAGTCTTGATTGGGTTAAGGTGAGTGCCTCCAGTGTAAATGCATGCCAAAATGTTAAGACACATCTAAATTCTGTGTGTTCTTTCTTGTACAGTATCTGGCATTTAATGTAAAAGTTACCAAACATACCAAGAGGTGGGACCGAGAAACAGATCATAGAATCAGACCCATAAGTGATTTAGATCCCGTAGTCATAAGTGTAGATGTAATTAACAATAACTGTAATTGATATATTTAAGTAACAGATATAATTGCTTCTCAAAAAACTGGCGTTTGAGCTGAACTTTTAAGAATATTTTGAATTCTAACTAACTAAGCACTTACTTTTCAAAGAATTTGGTGGGTATCAAGGCTGAAGAGCAAAGCCAGGAAGGATAGTATGTACCATCAGCAGACAAGCGGAAGAGACTTGGGTATACTTAGAGCAGGCATGCTGGGAAACATGACAGGCATGGCCTCCACGCTACATATGCCAATAGGAAATCAGGAGGATTTCTCTGTATAGATCAGTGCTGGATCAAATACAGCAGGAAGTGGGGGAAAACCTGATTGTTATTTATCTGTTTTAGGATTTCTTCAGTAAATCTGACCCATTTCTGGAAATTTTCCGCATGAACGATGATGCAACTCAGCAGCTTGTACACCGAACTGAGGTGAGACCTGTCATTTTCAGCTGTGCTATCTTGTCTCCTAAAAGAATATGCAGTGTTGAGAAACCTCTCACATGTTTAATGTTTGCTAGGTGCTCAGACCTGTAGCCTTCACTGTCCTCAAAGCAACTTTCTACCTTATTAGTTTCTTTCTTTGTGTGTGTGACTTTTTGCTCAATTTAAATGTTCGAAGAGAGGGACTTTCTCTAACACTAATTTCCCATTCATGGCCTATAAAATAGACAGAGAGCAACTTATTAGTAATAAAAATATGAATACTAGCTAACACTTCATGAGGATATTACATATGAAACACTGTACTAAGTGATCGCTCTTGTCTTGTGCCACTGAATTGGTTCTGCCTCATAATGGCCCTATCTAGGGGTTCTACGAGCAACTGGTGGCTTTGAACTACTGACCTTGTGGAGCTCATGCTACAGCACCACACCAGGTACTAAGTGATTGTTGTTGTTGAGAACCATCAAGTTGGTTCTAACTCAGTGACTTTGTATCGTTTCTGAGGAGTAGCTGGTGATTTCGAACCTCCAGCATTTTGATCAGCAGTCCAGTGCTTATCCTACAGCATCACACCAGGACTCCGCTAAGTGGTTAATATGCACTACTTCATTTATTTTTTACAATAATCCCTTCACTTGGTTATTATTATCACCATCATTTTGCAGTTGAAGAAACTGAATTTAGGGAAGTTCAGATCACTTTCTTGGGTTTCACAGTTAGCAAGTGAATTGAGGTTGTTTGCCCCTGCGCTTCTGTGTAATATGGAAAGCCAATGTGTCTCCTCAAGGAAAATTCATATATAAACATGGGCCTACCTCAGAGTATTGTGGGTTTGGTTCAAAACCGCTGCAGCAAAGTGAATATTATAATAAAGCAAGTCTCATGACATTTTAGGTTCCCCGGTGCACATGAAAGTTATGTTTACACAATACTGTGGTGCTATAGGATCAGTATTGGACTGTGAACCATAGGGCCAGCAGTTCTAACCCACCAGCTGCTCCTGGGAAACCCTATAAAGGGTTGCTATGAGGCAGAACCACCTTCACAGCACTTAACAATGATTGTGCAGTGACATTAAGAAAGAATTTGAAATATTGTGACAATTACCAAAATATGACACAGAGACACAAAGTACACACATGCTGTTGGAAAAAAGTGGTGCCAATAAACTTGTTCGATTCAGGCTTGCCATAAGCCATCAATCTATAAAATAAATACAGTGTCTGAGAAGCACAAGAAATGAGGTATGCCCATACTAAACTTACGTCAGGCCTATCCTGTGAACAGCTGCTCTGTCTTGGCACCCAACGGGTCTTCCTGCATCTCTTTAGCATCCTTTTATCCTCTTTTCCCAAACTTTACCCAGTAGTACTCAGGGTAGTAAGTTCCATAGCATAAGACTGAACTGCAAATCACAAGGTTGGCGGATAAGCCTACCAGCTGCTCCATGTGAGACAGATGAGGCTTTCTGCTCCCATGAAGATGTAAAGCCTCAGAAACCCTATACAGTGTCGTTACATGTTGAAAACGACTCAACAGCATTTAGCAACAACAAAGCCAGAAATGCCCCCTACACACACACACACACACACACACACACACACACACACACACACTAAATCCACTCTACAGTCCATCCCATCTCGACTTTTATGAGAGTCTCTGTGTGGGTGGCAGGGTAGTGATAAGGAGATAGACTAATTACGGTGACTGATCTGCTGCTGAGAAAACACCCTGTTACCCTGACACAACCAGTGGTAGGGTATGGAAGAAGAAAGTCTCATGGCTTTCACAGCATAATGAGGGGGTATTGTGTTTTCATCACCGTACACCAGCACTCTGCAGGGAGTGTTTAAGAGAATGGTGCATGCCATATTTTAAATAGACAAGGTTTAAATAGTCTTGGATGAACTAGTCTGTGGATGTCATCTGGCACATAGTAGGTATATAATCAAGTGTGTTTAAAAAAATAATGGAGTCTTGGGGTAGACTGATGGATAAGCACTGTACTCCAAGGTCAGTTTGAACCACAAGGTCAGCAGTTCAAAGCCAACAGCTGCTCCTCAGAAACCCCTATACAAGATTGCTGAGTCAGAATTGACTTGATAGCACTTAACAACATCAACAGTAAAGGAAAGAATTAATAAACAGAGTCAAGTATACAAAGTGTGTCTATTACATGTTGTAGGACAATGTCGATTCTGGAACTTAATCCTTGGCAAGTATTTTGAACTCCATCTGGGACAGTTGCTCTGAGTGGCACTCTACCATCACCCCAAGTAGAATCTCCACACATACATTGCTCTGGTGGAATAAGCTTCTTTCAGGAGTAGTTAATAAAGTTTGGGAAGAATTAGAATTGAGATTCATTCATGCTTTTACCCCAGACTCAATGAATGGAGGCTTTAATGTAAAGCAGAAAAGAGGTGGATGCTGTATCTATTGGCCTTCTACCCTCAGAACATTCTCCACTCCTTGCTTTCAGCATTCCTCTTCACATTATTGATATTGGTAAATTCTTTTGCTCCCAAGAATGTCAAGAACTCCCCAACACACACACCCCAATCCTAAGGAGATTCCGGAGTCTCACAAGAAACATGACTGTCAAACAACATGACATTGATTTCCCTCCCCACCACTTGCTTACTCAGTATATACAAAATACATACCAAATAGTGCTGTTCTCCTGGGACACACACACTCACATATTCTAATTTCATAGAAATTTTCAAATTAAAATCTTGATCTGCTATAGAAATCTTCAAAACTTGTAATGAAACATCTTCATTTCTTAGGTTTTCATTTAAGAGTGAGAAATTACGACGAATCCAATAATCTAATCTGTTTTTTCTTCTCATCATCACTTTGATCATCCCCACAGAATTGGGACATGAAACAAAGTCACACAGGAACATTAATTTTCTAACTCAATGAATTAAATTAAATTTAATACCAATCTCATAATCTAATCAGTAACTCATAGTTATATTAAGGAATTTAGTACATGAGAGAAGCATTTATAAAATAATTATATGACTGTTATTGTTGTTGTTAAGTGCCAACTCATAGCAACCCTGAATATTAGTTGAATTTGTTGGTGGGTTTCCTAGGAGAAGCTGGTGAATTTGAACCACTGACCTTGCAGTTCAAACCAACTTTGCAGTCCAGCAAATTAACCCATAGTGCCATGGTTGTTTTTTTTTTTTTTTGGTTTTGGGGGGTTAATACTAAGATTTCTGCTAAGAAAAAACTTCATGGGATGAAAAATCAAAATGATAGGATTCCATTTGAGTTTGTCCCTTAGACCAGTGGTTCTCAAAGTATGCATCACAGTCCGCAGAGGACTCAGCTTCCGAGTTTCTGCCAGTAGCTCTGGGCTGTTGTTGTTAAGTGCCATTGAGTCATTTCGACTCATAATAATCCTGTGGTTAGCAGTCCAGTGCTAATCCTACAGCATGATACCAGGAGGTCACTAGAAATTTACCTTTCTAACAAGTTCCAGGTGACATAGTAACTGCTGATCCAGGAACCACACTTTGGGAACCCTTGATCCAAAGTACACAGCACAATGCTAGGCCTAGATCCGTTATTCACATACGCTGAACCAAATTAAATGATTTTATAATGGTAGGATAAGGTCTGATTTGTATGGATTCTTGGGCAGGATTTAGCTAAATCCTCGATTAGGGAATTGCTTTTAAGTGGGTTTTACTATATTTTAACATTGTAAATTTACTTATTTTGTAAAGTTGAAGATCTGCCCCATTGTGCCAACCGTCTGCATTGTTGTTGTTAAGTGCCGATTCATTCTCATAGCAACTCTGTATAATGTTTCCAAGGAGCTGCTGGTGAGTTTGAAATGCTGACCTTGTGATCAGAAAGCCAGTACATATCTTACAGCAACACATCAGGACTCGCAGCGTAGTGTATTCTAATTGAGATGGTGATGATGGGGTGTTTGCTTTCTGGGTTTTTCTTTTGGAGACTTCTTTGGTTTGCAATCTGATCTGACTCAAGGTAACAGATTAGAAAGACCATTTAATTTTTTAGAAGCAGAATTTCTCTGCTAACTTTTCACTTCTTCCTTCTCCCATTTGACTCCACCAAGAATCTTTACTTCTACTGAATTTATACCCTAAGACTGATGGTTCCATGGAATTAGGGGTCCTCTGTTCAAGGCCAGAGGCCTCCCTACCTCCTTATTTTCAGCTCATTTTGATATGAATGGGACCATTCCCAGCATCCACAGGCTGGATAATTTACCATCCATTGACCAGTGGCAATAGTTCTTTCTGCCCATAATTACTCATTTATTGAGTATCCTGCAAAGCTGTGCAGCTCCAGCTTTTCATTCAAGTACTTATTCCAGACAGCTGTTCTTTCTATAAGTTTCACAATGGCTTCTCATTTTTATGATGAGATGTGAATATGTCAAGCACTTCCTCCCCCACCTACCACTCTTCTTTTTTCTTTTCTCAGGTGGTAATGAATAACTTAAGCCCAGCCTGGAAATCATTCAAAGTATCCGTAAATTCTCTATGCAGTGGAGACCCAGACCGCCGGCTGAAGGTCAGTAATCTGTCTATGTTTGAGAAATACAGTTCTTCATGTATTTATTCTTCAAGTTACGTTGGCAAAACCAAAAATTCCAGTTCTATTTCCCAACCACCTGGTTTTTTATTTTGTTTTGTTGTTTGGCTAGAACTATTGAAGCCCATGAAATAGCCCAAAATGAATCTCAGATGCAAAACCTATGGCTTCTCAGAGACAAAACTGTAGAAATAAGATTATGATATACTTAGTAGTTATTAAAAACATAATTGTTGCTAGATAAATGATCTATTGTTGCAAAATTTAGTAGCTAAGACAATAAACTTTCACTTCACTTATGATTCTGTACATTGGAAAACTGGGCTTCATGAATCTAGGTGGTTCTTCTGTTTGTCACACTTGGGCCTCAGAGATGTTTTTACCAGTCTAGGCTGATGAGTAAATTCACTGGGAACTCTTACTTTTCTGTGTCATTGAATTTATTCCAACTCAGAAGGATCCTCTAAAACAGAGTACAACTGCTCCATAGGATCTCAGAGACTTAATTTTTTAGGATACAGATCAATATTTTTTTTCTCTCTCAGAGTGGCAGGTAGCTTTAAACTGCCAAACCTTCAGTTAACAGTCAAGCACTTAAGCACTGCACCACCTTTACAAGCGAGTAGGTCCTATAAACAGAAAGGCCAACTGATGAATGTTTCGTGAGAATCCTGAGCATCAAGCTGAGCCTGCAATCACATTCACCTAACGGGGATCTTTCCTCCCAGTGGACAAACCCCAGGGAAGCCCACTGTTAGAAGGTTGTTGTGATAGAAAACAAGGCCTGGATGCTCAGTAACTAAACTGGTTAATGGCATCAGACTCTGAAAGCCTGAGGCCTCCACAGTCATTATGGAAATGTATAGACCCACAGGAAGCTTACCTATTTATATGGATCTCTCAGGGTACCTGATTTCTAGAAAGTGTTAGATGGGCATTGCCAATGTTTCTCTTTATATCTTTGCATTTTCCTCATCCCTTTTGCCCCACCAACCTTTTTCTTATGAATACAATTCTTTTGTCCATACTATCAATCAGTTCAGAATCTCATCTGGCTACTTTAAGATCCCCTTTAACATGACTTTGTAGATCTCTCCTTAAACCCATTCGGCATGAACTTTGTGGTTGAAATCTCAGAAGACATGCATACATACATACATACATACATACAGTCCAATGCTTATCCTACAGCACTACACCAGGACTCTTCAAAGGTATATAGACATTGTCAGATATTCCCTAGAGGGTTAGACCAATGATTCTCTAACAGCATGCATCAGAATCAACTGGAAGACTTGTTAAAACATAGATTGCTGGGCCCTAGCCCCAGAGTTTCTGATATACAACCTGGAGATGGAGAATTTATACTTCTAACAGGTTCTTCAGTAGCACAAATCAATAAGTGCTGGAGCACTAATTGAATGGTTAGAGGTTCAGACCCACCCAAAGGCACCTCAGAAGTAAGGCCTGGTAAACTACTTCTGAAAAATCACAGCCTTGAAAATCCTACAGAATGCAATTCTACTCTGCACTCATGAGGTCACCATGAGTTAGAACCAGCTCAATAGCAGCTAACAACCACATGCTCTCAAGCATTGTGGCTACTGCTAAGAACTCGTGCTATAGACATTAGCTCCTTGACTGTCCTCATACCCACTTGGTCTCCCCCCTTCCACCTTTTCTTGCCCATAACTCACACATTACAGGTATTTCACTCTCCTCAGACTTCAAGGCTTTGCATTTTCAGTTCTCTCTGCCTGGAATGCCTAATTTCTCAAATTTTCCTGGAACACACTGCTTTCCTTCAGGTCTCCTAAATCTTCCTTCACTTGCAACAAACCCTGCCTGACCTCTTCATGCCTGGGTGGGCTGCCTCCTAAATCCCTAAGTCCCCTGTGGGACTATCTCTCAGCCTGTTTAGAAGTTGCCTGTACGCAGACATTTCTGATTCCTCAGGAGATGATTTGCTTTTGCTGGTTTGCCTCTTCCAGGTGGGAATTGTGTTTTGTGTCTAGGTATCTAGCACAGCTCTTGTCAGAGAGCAGATACGCAATCATTATTTCCAGAATTCATGTAGAAAAGAGTGAAGGAGGCTCCAAGAGGCCACAGGGGGTGTCTGGACCTCACTACCCTCACTGAGGTCGGGGAGTTTACTTACTAAACCACATAGTATCATAGGAACCAGCTCACAATAACTTGTTCACAATAACTGTTGTTCTATGTGTCTGTTGTATGCTGTCGAGTTGTTCAAACTCATAGTGACCTTATATAGGGTTTCCTAGAGCGGCTTGAGGGTTTGAACTGCCAACCTTGCAGTTAGCAGTCCTGTGCTTATCTTACAGGACCCAATCCCAATTCATAGAACTGTCCCACAAAGTTTCCAAGGCTGTAAATCTTTACTGAAGCAGAATGCTACTTCTTTCTCACATGGAGCAGCTGGTGGGTTTGAACCACCAACCTTTCAGTTAGCAACCAACCAATGGGCTCTAAAATGTAACAATTGATTGTTACATTAGAGAGCCCATTTTTGCTACCACTGTGTCAGTCCATCTCATTGGGGATCTTCTTTTTCACTGAGCTTCATTGTCTAAATATTATGACC